TCTTCTTTCCATTTAAGCACTGCCTTTGCAGTATGAACTGGTGCATTATCATCTTGAAATATATTTAAATCAGTTCCTAATTCGTTCATAAAAGGTAATAAATAATTTTCTAAAAGCTCTTGATATTTTTTACCAGTTATTTTACCTTCTAATATTACCAAGGGTCCTGGTTGATTGTTCACAAAACAACCCCACACCATTACTCCTCCCCCACCATGTTTAAAAGTAGGAATAAGACAGTCAACATCATACTTCTCTTTTGGAACTCTCCAAACTCTCTGCCGTCCATCAGAATGATGCAAGTTGAATTTTGATTCATCACTCCAAATAATATTACTCCAGTCATCAACGTTCCAATTTTTTCTTTCTCTGCACCAACTAAATCGTTTTTTTCGATTAACTTCAGAAACAAAAGGTTTCCTCAATGCAGCTTGACTATAATATCCTTCTTCATGGAGATAGTTACGAATTGTTTGATCACAAATAGGATTGTCTGTGGTTTCATTTAATATGTTAGTTATCTCTCTAGCAGGAGTAAAACGATTTTTTATAACAATTCTTTTTAAAGTCCTAGAGTCTTGATCTGTTAAACTTTTTGGTCTTCCACTTCTAGATAAAATGGTAATTTGACCTTTTTCACGGTATGCTTTTATTGCACGCTGTACTTGTGTTTGAGTACGACCAACAGCATTTGCTATTTCTCGAGTTGTTTGACCAGCTTCCCAATGACCAATTATTCTTCCTCTTTCAAAGTCAGTTAATTGAGTGTTTTCAGTATTTTGTGTATTTATTTCTGTAAGAGTCATTGTGTTGTTGATTAAAAATAAGTTAAAAAACATAACAGTTTTAGTTAAAAACGAATAGCAATATTTGCAGAAAAAAAAATTTTTAAATGTAACACATTTATTTTTTTTAGTTGTTTTTACGTTTCAGTTCGATACTTGACCAATATCCGACAATTAATTGTGAGATTTCATAAGTATACATTTGAAGATAAAAGAAACAACATTTACTAAGCTCTCAAAATGTGTTAAAACATGGCATCTAAAGTTGGCTCTAATCTCAAGTTTTTTTGAAAATTTCCGGAAATTTTTTTTTTGTCTTTTAAAGATCATAAAATTACCAATAATTAATTGTATGTTGTGAAACTTGAATATGTTATAGAAATCATTATGAAAATGATTTTTTTGTTATTACACAACATCGACTTGGTTAGTAAAATCATGACTTTTTATATCACAGAAGTTATCCAATTATTTTCATCAATCATCAGGTGAAGCGATACTTTTTTCAAGGGACTGTATATTAGATGAACTAATTGGAATTGTTGGAGCATCAATCTTATTAATGAGTAGTGTTGCCATATGTGAGATTTGAGAAATAGATGTGGTACTTGGAAGTCTTGATTGATGTAGATTATGGTAGTCATCAATGTTTAACACCAAAAGATTTTGACACTAATATATAAAAAAAGTTAATTGGAAATTATAAAAATATATATATTTAAGTATTATTAATCTTTATATACATTTACATTTAATTTAACATAAGCTTCTACTGATGGGTTATGATTCTTTATTATAATATTCATTCTGTTAAAAACAGTTTGATAGGTGGAACTCAAACCTATCCCAGCAAGTGAATCAATTCCAATTGCAGATGTACCACACCCTGACATAAATAGTCCTATAGATGATTTAATATCACTAACTTGTTTATTCCGAATTGCAGCTAGTTGATAACATATGAACATAATTTTGGTTTTTATTTGTTTTTTTGTAGCTTCATTTTTTGAAGCAGGGTTGATTGATTGATATATAATTTCAAAAAATCCTTTTAATTCCATATCTACTGATTCAATATAATTAACAAAATCTTCAGGATCAGTAATGGGCTTTTGGTGTTTTTTATGTTGCAAAGCATATAATACAGATGTAAGACATTTAATTTTATCATTAAAGAGTTCTGCAAAATTTTCTTTTTCTAATAATAAAAAAAATAATTAGCAATAATAATAATTATAAATAATTTGTTAATAATATATTATTATATAACTTAATGCTTGTTCTAATTCAATTTCTAATTTATTTGTATGCTCTTGCAATTCATCTATTTTTTCAATTAAATTTTCATATTTTTCTTGGGTCAAACAAACATGTTTTGGATATGTTTCACCCATACATGCAGCCCAAATTGATTTGTTAATGTCATAATATTATGACATTTGGGTAGTGGTAATACCAAAATGTCAGAATTATGTAGTAATGTCAGAATTGTGTAGTAATGTCAAAATGTCATAATTGTGGAGTGACATTAAGTTAAATCATGTGTAGTAATGTCAAAACTGTGTAGTAATGTCAAAATGTCATAATTGTGGAGTGACATTAAGTTAAATCATGTGTAGTAATGTCAGAATTATGTAGTAATGTCAAAATTGTGTAGTAATGTCAAAATGTCATAATTGTGGAGTGACATTAAGTTAAATCATGTGTAGTAATGTCAAAATTGTGTAGTAATGTTAAAATGTCATAATTGTGGAGTGACTTTAAGTTAAATCATGTGTAGTAAGTAGTGTCAAAATTGTGTAGTAATGTCAAAATTATGTAGTAATGTCAAAATGTCATAATTGTGGAGTGACATTAAGTTAAATCATGTGTAGTAATGTCAAAATTGTTTAGTAATGTCAAAATGTCATGACTGTTGTAGCAATTTACATTTTTATCATGAGTATAATGTACAAATAAAGAAATAATTAAACATTAATGGCAGACAAATTAATTTTATATATTAAGTATTTTTACTAATTATGTTTAGAAATATTCAGATAGATGAGATTATCTGTATTTTCTTATCATTATTATTATTATTATTATTATTATTATTATTGTTATCATAATTTTTATTTTCCTGCAAAAAATTATCATAAAAAAAAAATTTTAGAATTGTTTTCATTTACTTAAATTCCAGAAGAGTGTTAGATAATATTATTATTATTTCATTTTTATTAAATATTCATTTTACCTAGAGAATAATATTACTCCAACATTTCTTTTATTACTATTATATTTTACCTTTTTTCTGTCATTAGAACAGATTAATTTTTTTTATATTACTATATACATACATTTAGAATTAACAATCATTTATTATTAAAAATTTTTTTAAAGAATATAGATTTTATTACTCAGCTGGTTGGTTTTAGTTTTAATAACATTTAATATATTTTTATATTTACTTAGAGAATTCACCAATTACTTAATTTTTTTATTGCTTTTTTTTATCTATACAAAGTCAAACTTCATCTTCTTTCTCTATAACTTTGTTACTTTTTATTTGATCTTTTATTTATTGTCACCAGTTAGATATTTTTATTTTTGTTGCTATTGAATTAATATTCATTATCAAGACAATGAGTGAATCAACCTCTGAAAAATCTTCAAAATCAGGTAGACCAAAAAATGACATTTGGAAGCACTTCAAAGAGGCTGATAAACTCAATGGACATTACAGCACAAAGTGTATTTATTGTAATTGGAAAAGGCAATGTGGAAAACCTGCAGAAATGATAGATCATTTAATCAATACTTGTCCAAATGTTCCACATAATATAAAACATGGTTTTCACCAACAACAACAATGTAATGAAATTGTAACAAAGAAAAGGACACATGATGGATTACAAACTTATATCAATGAACATTTTCAAAGTTCCTCGATTGAAGAACAAAGAAATAAATTAATTAATAAATCATTGGTAAAATTTTTCACATGTTGTGGTGTTTCTTTTTCTATTGTTGAGCACCCTTTTTTTGTAGACTTTGCAAAAACATTGTGCCCAGGATATAATCCACCTTCAAGGACAACTTTATCAACTACTTTATTGAACCAAGAGGCAGGTGAAGTTATGATCAGTACTGAAGACCAATTAAGATATTCGAAAAACCCTTCATTGTGTTTTGATGGTTGGATATCACCATTAGGAAATTCCTTTTATGCATTTGTAATTGTCACTGAGTCAAGATCTGAAATTTTTTACTCTCTAAAAGATTATTCCTCAGAAAAACACACAGCAGAATTTTTATCAAATGAGATCAAATGTATTTTAGAAAAGGTTGGTGTGAACAAATTTGCATCTATAATTTTGGACTCTGCTGCTACAATGGTTGCTGCAAAAAGACTTGTTAATCAGACATATCCTAGTATTTATCCAATCTGATGTATTACTCACAATGTAAATTTAATCTCTTCAGACATTTGTAAAACAAGTTGGGCAAAAATAATTTTGAACAAATGTAATAAGATTGTCAGATATTTTAAATGTTCATATAGGGCAGGTTCCATGTTAAGGCAAGAAATTAATGATCGTTTAATTATAGGAGGTAACTTACAAGGTTATGTAAAAACACGATGGGTAACTGCATATGATTGTACAGCATCTATTTTACAATTAGAAACTTGTTTAAAGAATGTTAGTATTTTTACTTAAAAATTTTATTATATATTTTTCTTAACCAAAACCACACACCACAATTTTTACATACATTATTTATTATATTAAATACTAGTTATTTTTTATATTTATTTACTTCATTTTTAAAGTTCACATAAATGATATATATTGTAATGAAGATTTTAATACTTGTAAACATATTTATTTACTTTGTTCAATAATTTTAATTCACATGTTTAGGTTCTCATAAATGATACAGAATGCTTGTCATCAGAAGTAAAATCAATTTTAAGAAACATATGTTTTGGCAGCAAGTGGAGGATTTGTCAATGGTTTTAGAGCCAATAAAAAATGCAATAAAATGTTTAGAATTTAAATCAACAGCGCTTGCTGACTGTTTTATACAATTGATAAAATTAAATATGGCTATAAAAGACATGTCAGAAGAAATAAATCAACAGTTTCGTAATGATGCAATTGAAATATTTAATAAAAGATGGCGTCAGTTTGACTTTGATCTTTATATCCTTGCATATTTTTTACATCCCAAATATAGAGGTGTAGGTACAAGAAATGAAACATTGAGGTTAATTTGTCAAGCAGCA